ACACTGGATATCACCTTTGTTCTTGTACAACGGTACCACTGTAATCGACCTTCACTCATCCGGCATCCTCTTCGTCCTAAAAATTACATTAAACAACCCGGTCAGCCACTCCAATCCTGCTCGACCCACACACTTCCAAAACTCAACCGGTATTTCATCTGCCCGGTCGCTCTACCCCTACTCATCTTACGCAAAGCCCCCACGACCTCCTCCACCTTAATGCGCCTGCAATACCTAAAATCTCGAAGACTCTCCGAATGCCCCAAGTCCCCTAGCGCTATATCCCGGTCTCCCTCCTCATTTAGAAGACCATAGAAGTATGTCTGCCATCTCTGCTTAATCTGGGACTCCCCTATCAATACTCTACCATCCTCGTCTTTGATGCACCTTACTTGGTCCAGATCCCGGGCCTTCCTCTCCCGCACTTTAGCTAGCCGAAACAGCTTCCTGCCAAATGAAGGGTAAAATGAAATCTGACGTTTACTTCGTATATTTACTTTTTTTTATAGTTTTACCCCCTTAGTAAAATTTCGGCTTCACTGTATGCAACCCTGCCAAAGGGAGGGTAAAATGAAACCTCACATACTTTTTGAGAATTGCCAAGACATGGGACAAAGAGCATGAATATGATGGTTATGTTTTGATAGAACCAAGAAAACAAACTCTTATTTTCTCCATCTGTCCCTACTTGCACTGAAAATGACACATCAACTCCTCATTTAATTGAACGCCTAATTATACCCATTTATTAGCACTTTCTCACGTCTTGTTGTAACCAAAGGCTCCTCTTTTTTGTCTATAAATAACCACATACCCACTTTCATTTCTCTCATTCTACCTTCCTCTTAAGTTTAGTACACTAGTGAAAGAAAAAATATTGATTTTCCTTCAATTGTTGCAGTACTGTACTTCTGCCAAAGCCATGGCTGCGCTAGAAAAAGAAAAAGATATGGAGCGTAAACAAGAGTACTTATCTTGAAACATAAGTGGCGTTATCCCTCCTGAGCTTATTCTTCTTACATGTTTTTCTCGTCTTTTCTAACTTTAGATGAGCGATTCGAGCTTTCTTGACCTTGCAAGTCCGAGGTCTTCTTATATGGCTCTCAAAGTGACAAAGTTGTTAAAATTCTCGTCTCATTTCTATCCCTTCTGAGCTTATTCCTTTTTAATACAAACCCTTCGCTAAGATTGGGTCATGCCATTTTATTTCATATTATTATGCAAATACATGTTGTTGTCCTTTTCGTGTATGCGAGGATTTCTGGTTGTGTATTGAAAATACTGATGCAATGTATAAATATATAATCCAGTTTAGTTCTCCACTCTTTTGCTCCTCCAATTTTAGAATACCATTATCTCAAAAAGCAGCTACCGATATTATAAAAACACGCGAAAATAATAAAAGGGAAAATTGTAAAACATAGTAATTTCAGTTGTACTTTAGGCCTTAGCTCCAATAATTACAAGGGAACATATTTTTTGGTCAATTTATTCCAGCATAAAAGAATGAAAATGCCAATATTTCTTGTTTTATTCTTCTTTGGCATATGCCCATTTCCTGTGCAGGGGCCCAAAATTGTACTACGCTATGTCTCGGGGCTGGCTTATTTGAATAGCAAATGTAAATCATTGAAAGTTTCATTTTTTAAGAATTTAGTAGTATGTTTTCGGTTTCATGATATCAATTAATCGCCTTTGGATCTGATTAATCTGGATTCACGCTAGAAAATGTCATTTTGGGGTTAAAGCATCCTTTGCCAATTAGCGACTCAATTCTCAAGACTTAAATTCAAAACTTTTGGTTAAGGATGGAGCGATATTAATTTCAAACTCCCTCCCTCCCTGTCATTCAAGTGTAGTATGTCCTCATATTAATTCGAATACCCCGCAATTTTTTATAGGTTTGACTCTCCATGTAATTGACCAATTTCACAGTTTAGCAATATTATCGATATGTTGGCTACTCACAAAAAATAACGAAGGGAAAATCAATTTGGATGACATGGTCACTGTGTTCTGCAATAAAAAGTGGATTCACTTTCAGTCAAACACTCTTAACTAATTCTAGTAGGAATATTTCAAATTCAGCCAAACACTCTTAACCACTAGCAATTTTAAATAATCAATTTTATGCCAGGTCACAAGTCTGGAGATTAAATTTCCTATACATATACCAAGCATTAGTAGAATCAACGTTTGATTTCACTAAAACGATTAAAGATGCACCTAACCTGGAAGAAAAGGAAAATTTTCATTCGTTTCGATAGCAATAGCAATTGTTAAATCAACTAAGTGTTTATCATTTGAATGCCACCAGCTGACAGTACCCTACTAGATATTCGGTCAAAACCAAGTCGGTTGATAGAAAAAAAAAGGCCGAAAAACCGATCGAAGTACGTTGGTAAAATATCTTTTTTTAAATTTTTTTTACGAAACAAACCAATTTTGGGGCGTTTCAAAAATACGGAAAACTATATTTGCGTCTGATAATAGATGATAATCATGCAATTTAGCTAATATTTACACTCTGCCGCACTTTATTAATGTTTGACTGTAAAAAATAACAAAATGCTCTAATTAAGAGTTTTATGCTTTGCAGGAGCCATTCCGAGCTAGGAGGAAGCTAAAAGAGTGTTTGGAGTCAATATGGAGCATGGAAGGCCAATTGGAGGATAACACGATCAAAAAGGAGAAGAAAGAGCAAGGACCAAATCCGCGCCCAGGTCCGCGGTCAGGTCCGCGGACAGAAGTTGTGCCAAATCCGCGGTCCATCCGCAGCCGCGGACGGGGTGTTCGGAGCCAAATAATGCAAGGTCAATTGTGTAATTTCCAGGACGACTCTCCTTGACCTATAAGAAGCCCAACTCGCCCAAAAAGAGGATATCGAGGTTTTTGAAGTGTTTTTGAAGGCAAGAACAGGCAAGAAGCAAGGCGGAATGTGAAAACGATTATGCGTAGCTAAACTTCTAATCTAGGGTTTTGATGGAACCTCTTGGAGGATGAATTTCGCGTTATGTTAATATAGATTTGCCCTAATATTTTCTCTATTTGTTTAACTATATTGTGATTGCTGTTGATTGAAGGGCCCTCAATCGGCTGTACCTATTTAGTATGCATTACTCGAGAGAGAGTGTATATTTAGGTAGTTGTTGAACAACACCACTCCTAACGTATATAAGGGATCAATACGAAGGGTTTAAAGGCGGGATTAGGGGTAACGAAACCTTGGGTGCGATCTAAGTAAGCTGTAACTAAGGCCAGCTAGCGTAATTCGGGAGAATATGTCTAGTATATTATTGTAATTACTTGGGAGAGAGCTACGACAGTCAGAGTGCTCATGATCGATAGAGAAAACTTAGGCAAATTTATAACAAACATAGCGGAAAAGATTCCGACAAGAGGGGAAATCAGAACATTAGACCATTCTCATTCTTGCTTGCAAACCGTTTATAGCTAGTTCTTAATTACTGCATTTTTATTACATAATATTTAGTTAATAAACACCCAATTTTTGTTACTCAAATATCTCTGAAGATTGAATACGCGAATTTCTGTGAGTCCGATAGCTGTGATTGATAGGTTAATTCCCTGTGGGATTCGACTCCAGACTTGTTAACTGGAATATATTTGCAGCGACCGCTTTGTCCTTTTTATAAGGCATAGTTGGGCGTGATCAAATTTTAGCGCCGTTGCTGGGGGATTAAAGGTGTTATTGATTGTAGTTAAAAAGAAGTGCGAAAATTCTTAGTGTATTTAATTTTCTTCAATTTAAACTGACCATTGAAATTCTAACGTTTGTAGTCGTGGTTGTACATGTGCATTCTCCTCAAGAATTGGTGAATTGTTTGAAGCATTATCAGATCCTGAGAAAGTGTTCAAGGCATTGAATCGTGCATACAAGAAAGGCAAACAACAACAGAACTCAACTAGAAACATTGAACCATACATGGAAGACGTTAATCCAAACAATAGAGACAACGTGAATGACCCAAACGATCAGGGTGTGGCACCTCTTGTGCCAGAAGCAGCACTATATGACTGGGCACAACCCACCACTGAAAATTTAGCAACTGCTATTGTAGTCCCTCAAATACAAGCAGATTCATTCCAGATCATAAATAACATGCTACATCTATTGGAGAACAAGGGATTATTTTCTGGGTCATATGTTGAAGATCCTCAGCAGCATCTAAAGAATTTCCTGTCAATCTGTGCCACGCAGAGGCAACACAACGTGACACCGGAAGCAATACGTTTGCTGTTGTTTCCATTCTCAGTGACAGAAGCAACTCAGACTTGGCTTAATTCTCTCCTCATCAACTCCATCACTACTTGGGAGGAATTAGTCAAGCAATATTTGAGCAAATTTCATCCACCCAACAAGACTGCTTAGCAAATTGATGAGATATTGAGCTTCAGACAGAAACCAACTGAAACGCTACATGAAACATGGGAGAGATTAAAGGGTCTGCTGGTTACGTGTCCACATCATGGTATTCCGGAGTAGATGTTGGGGCAGAGATTTTACATAGGTTTGGCAGATAGTTTGAAAGCCAATGTTGATGCTTCAGCAGGTGGAGCACAGAGAGAGAAAGATCCTACTTGACAAGATGGCACAAAACTCAGGATGGACAACAAGAAACGCTCCAATCACTCCTGTGGTTCACTTAGTGGCTCTAGACCCGGCTAACTCCATAGCTGAAAATATGGCCACTCTATTGACACAAATGAGCATCCTCACCAAAAAGGTTGAAGAATCAGGCCAGAAGCAGCAGGTACACATAGTTGATGCAACTAATGGGGGTCTATGTACATCATGCATTAATCAACCATATGTCTCCTCGTGGAGTGCTGAAGGTGATAATCAACAATATCAGGAGAACATGAATTATGTGACCAACTACGAGGGACCGAGACCAGGTGGTCAGAATTGGGGTCAGTAGAATCAACAATATAAACCAGCTCAGCAGTAGTACAATAACAACAATAATCATGGGGCTATGCGACCACAGGGGCAAATGGTGCCTTACCAAAGGCAACAACGATATAACCAGCAAAATCAGCAGCATGCTTATCAACAACCTCCACAACAACAGATTGTGAGACATGAAGATGGGTTTGCTAAACTTGAGAGAATGATGCAACAAGTGATTGGGTCCACTGGAAAACTAGCTGACAGAGTAGACTCACATGAGCCAGCGATAAAGAATATTGAGATCCAATTAGGACAGATTTCCATGGCCCTAAATAATCGTCCTCATGGGATGTTACCTGCAGACACCCAAATCAATCCAAAAGAGCAGGGCCCGAAGAAGCTGATGGCAGTGAGTCTCCGAAATGGTAGAGACTTAGATCTGGAGCAAGAAATTGCTCGCGAAAGCAGACCGACTGAGACACTGGTGCCAGTACCATTGAGATAGATGATTCAGCAGGGTTAACTCAGGTGACGGTACAGAATGCGCAGGAGAACACCAACAAAGAAGAAAAGGTTTTGAAAGAGATTGAGGCTGCGCCGGAACCGACAGAGGAAGTAGTGCCTGAACAAGAAAAAAATCAGATCACAGGGAAGAAGCGACTTCCAGCACCATTCCACGGAGATTGGCCAAGTATCAGAAAGAGGAGCAGTACAAGAAAATTTTGGAGATGTTGAAGCAAATTCAGGTAAATATTCCATTGATTGATGCTTTAAAGGAGATGCATGGTTATGCAAAGATGATGAAGGACTTGTGTCCCATAAGTTCGACTTTCAAGACTTGGCCACGGTTACACTAACTCAGACCTACAATGCTGTTGTGACGAGACCCATAGCTGAGAAGCTGTCTGACCCAGGGAGTTTCACAATCCCTTGCACAATAGGCAGCTTTGCATTTGCTAAGGCACTATGTGATCTGGGAGCAAGCATAAACCTTATGCACCTAGCTATCTACAAAAGGCTAGGCATTGGAAGAGCTAGACCCACGTTTATGCTACTACAGCTGGCTGACCGAACAATCAAGAGGCCCTCTGGGATTTTAGATGATGTATTGGTACAGGTTGGGAAGTTTGTGTTCCCAGCAGATTTTGTCATCCTTGACTATCGGGTTGACGGGAAAATTCTCATAATTTTGAGAAGACCATTCTTGGCCACTGGGAGAGCCTTAACTGATTGTGAAACTGGAGAGCTCAAGATGAGATTAAATGATGAAGAGATAACATTCAACGTGCAGAAATCTATGTGGAGACCAAGTGAATTTGCTAATTGCTCTCTAATAGATGTGTCACGACCCGGATTTCCCACCCTCGGGAGTCGTGATGGCGCCTACTGATGAGAGCTAGGCAAGCCAACCATTAACTACCTTTAGCATTATCCAATTTACTTCTTTTAACAATTATCGGTAATATCATGGAAACAGCGGAATAAAGTAAATAAGTGGAAGTCTTAAATTAAAGAATCTGAACAACAATGCGGAAACTCGACATAAACCTCTACCCAAGAACTAGTGTCATATACTCACAAACTACTAAGAGTGCTAAATACAACCGTTTGAAAGAAAATATAACTGTTTGTCTCGAAATACATGAGATAACAGACTGAAATAAAAGATAGAAGAGACGCCGGGCCTGTGGACGCCTGCAAGGCTACCTCGGTGTCTTGCTGGACTGAAAGCTAACTCCCGCACTACTGCAGCTGCTGTCCAACACCTGGATCTCTGCAAAAGAGCACAGAGTGTAGCATCAGAACAACCGACCCCATGTGCCGGTAAGTGTCTGGCCTAACCCCGACGAGGTAGTGACGAGGCTAGTACCAGACTCCAGACAAATCTGTGCAGTGATATAATGTATTGCAGAAAAATAAACAAGTAATGAGCATTTATAAGGGAGGGGCTGTAAGTGTCTGGCCTAACCCCGAAGCATCACTACATCGTTTATGACCCATCTTGAGCTTCTGAAAGCATGCCTCACACTCATCTGACCATCTGAACTGGGCACCCTTCTGGGTCAATCTGGTCATCGGGGCTGCAATAGATGAAAATTCCTCCACGAACCGTCGATAGTAGCTTGCCAACCCCAAGAAACTCCAAATCTCTGTAGTTGATGCTGGTCTAGGCCACTCGGTTCATCAAGTCCATGAAAGCTGCTGGGACATTTGTCAACCCGAATGACATAACCAAGAACTCATAATGCCCGTACCGAGTGCGGAAAGCTGTCTTAGGGACATCGGATGCCCTAATCCTCAACTGATGGTAACCAGATCGCAAGTCAATCTTGGAAAATACCCTGGCACCCTGAAGCTGGTCGAACAAATCATTAATCCTCGGCAGTGGATACTTATTCTTGACCGTTACCTTGTTCAATTGCAGGTAATCAATACACATTCTCATTGACCCATCCTTCTTCTTGACAAATAACACCGGCGCACCCCAAGGTGAGACACTGGGTCTAATGAAACCCTTCTCAAGCAAATCCTGCAACTGTTCCTTTAGCTCCTTCAACTCTGGCGGGGCCATACGATACGGCGAGATAGAAATGGGCTGAGTGCCCGAAACCAGATCAATGCAGAAATCAATATCCCTGTCGGGTGGCATACCCGGCAGGTCTGAAGGAAAAATATCAGGGAACTCACAAACAACGGGCATAGAATCTATAGAGGGAACCTCAGCACTGGAATCCCGAACATAAGCTAAATAAGCCAAACACCCCTTCTCGACCATACACCGAGCCTTCACATACGATATAACACTGCGGGTAGAATGACCTGGAGTCCCTCTCTACTCTAAACGAGGCATGCCCGGTAAAGCTAAGGTCACAGTCTTGGCATGGCAGTCCAAGATAGCGTGATAGGGTGATAACCAGTCCATCCCCAATATAATATCAAATTCGACCATATCTAAAAGCAACAGATCTACACGAGTCTCCAGACCCCCAATCACCACAACACAAGAGCAATGGACTTGATCGACCACGATGGAATCACCCACCGGCATAGACACATAAACAGGAATACCCAATGCATCACTAGGCATGATCAAATACGGGGCAAAATAGGATAACACATACGAATACGTAGACCCCAGATCAAACAACACTGAAGCATCTCTATCACAAACTAGAACCGTACCTGTAATAACCGCATCTGAAGCCTCTGCCTCGGGCCTGGCCTGAAGGGCATAACATAGGAGCTGATGGTGCACTGTAGGACTGCTGGTCAGAATACTGCCCGCGAAAACCACGGTCACCATATGCACCATGGGAAACCTGGAGCGCTGACTGGAAGGGCCTAGGAGGATGAACCCTATCATACGAATCTCTACCTCCAGATGAGGCACCACTGAATCGGCCTGACTAACGGGGTCTCTTATCTGCCCTATGACCACCCCCCTGTGACAATACCATCTCAATCCTCCGGGCCACATATATCTCGCTCCCAGCCTCTCTAGCCATCAGAAGACGAATAGGCTAAATGAGTCCATCAATAAACCGTCTCACTCTTTCCCTCTCAGTGGGAAGTATAACAAGAGCATGGCGAGCCAAATCAATAAACCTGGTCTCGTACTGGGTGACTGTCAGGGATCCCTGCTGGAGACGCTCGAACTGCCTCCGATAGGCCTCTCGCTGTGTAGTAGGGAGAAACTTCTCCAGAAATAGATGTGTGAACTGCTCCCAGGTCAAGGCTGGAGATCCTGCTGGTCTAGCTAAACAATAATTCCTCCACCAAGTCTTGGCGGATCCAGACAACCGGAATGTAGAAAAATCAACCCCATTGGTCTCAACAATACCCATGTTCCGAAGAACCTCGTGGCAGCTGTCCAAATAATCCTGAGGATCCTCGGTAGACACACCGTTGAAGGTAGTAGTGAAGAGCTTCATGAACCTATCCAACCTCCATAAAGCATCGGCAGATATAGCTGTCCTATCACCGGCCTGGGCTACCACACCCGGCTGAGCTGCTCCAACTGGCTGGACTGCTGGAGTCTGAATCGGGGGAGCTCCCTGCTCCAGAGTACGAGTAGCAGGAGTCTGGGCCCCTCTTCCAGCCTGAGAGATGGCTGGTGCTACAGGAAGCAAGCCTGCTCGGGTAACACTCTCCATGAGACCCACCAATCGGACCAGAGCGTCCTGAAGAACTGGGGTAGCAATAAACCCCTCTAGGACCTGAGCTGGGCCCACCGGAACTACTGGGCTGGGGCCGGAACCTCCTCGTCAAAGTCAACCTGAGGCTCCGCCACTGGTGCTGCTGCTCGGGCTAAGCTCTGCCCCTACCTCGGCCTCTAGCACGGCCTCAGCCTATGCCCCTAGCGGGAGCTGCCTGGGGCTCGGACTGCTGATCGAAAGATGAGGAAGCGCGTGTTCTCGCCATCTGCGAAAGAACAGAGTAAAAATTCAATTAGCGTTGAGAAACCAAACCGCACGACAAGAATGAACAAATGTGAAACTTTTCCTAACTCGGTAGCCTCTGCGGGATAAATACAGACGTCTCCGTACCGATCCCTCAGACTCTACTAAGCTTGTCCGTGAGTTGTGAGACCTATACAACCTAGAGCTCTAATACTAACTTGTCACGACCCAAATTTCCCACCCTCGGGAGTCGTGATGGCGCCTAATGATGAGAGCTTGGCAAGCCAACCCTTAACTACCTTTAGCATTATCCAACTTACTTCTTTTAACAATTATCGGTAATAACATGAAAACAGCGGAATAAAGTAAATAAGCGGAAGTCTTAAATTAAAGAATCTGAACAACAATGCGGAAACTCGACATAAACCTCTACCCAAGAACTGGTCATACTCATGAACTACTAAGAGCGCTAAATACAACCGTTTGAAAGAAAATATAACTGTTTGTCTCGAAATACATGAGATAACAGACTGAAATAAAAGATAGAAGAGACGCCGGGCCTGCGGACGCCTGCAAGGCTACCTTGGTGTCTCGCTGGACTGAAGGCTAACTCCCGCACTACTGCAGCTGCTGTCCAACATCTGGATCTGTGCAAAAGAGCACAGAGTGTAGCATCAGCACAACCGACCCCATGTGCTGGTAAGTGTCTGGCCTAACCCCGGCGAGGTAGTGACGAGGTTAGTACCAGACTCCAGAAAAATCTGTGCAGTGATATAATGTATTGCAGAAAAATAAACAAGTAATGAGCATTTATAAGGGAGGGGGTACATGCCTCGGGGAAAACAATTCAACTTAGCAGAAACTGAATTAGATACGAAGGAATAGTACAATGTCCAAAACAATATGATAGAACTACTATTGCGGCGCGCAACCCGACCCGTACGTATAAATATAACTGTTGCGGCGTGCAACCCGATCCACTAATTATAATATACACCTGTTGCGGCGCGCAACCCGACCCAATACAATATATGTTGCGGCGTGCAACCCGACCCAATACAATATATGTTGCGGCGTGCAACCCGATCCAATATAACGTATGTTGCGGCGTGCAACACGTCCCAAATATACATAGCTTACAGTAATCATAACCACAAATCCCGACAGGGGGATTAATCATAAAATACTCTATCCCGGCAAGGGAACTCAACAGTACAAGTATACTCATCCCGACAAGGGAGAACCAGCTATAACCAATCTCAATTCGAATTTTAACATTTAGATTATCACCACTTCTAACTCATGATTAACTTCCACGAAAATAAGCTAAGCCTTTGCTCAATTTCACAAGTCTACTCACTATTTCATCCATAGTATTATTCAAGAACACAAAATGTCAATTTAAGACTCACGGTCATGCTCGACACCGACGTATAGATACTCTTCACCATGCCTATACGTCGTACTCCACAAGAAACACATAAAAAATATGACTCAACTCCTAATCCCTCAAGCTAAGGTTAAACCGAACACTTACCTCAATGCTTTGAATTCAACTCAAGTCTCAATTATGGCTTTACCCCTCGATTCCACCACCAATCCGCTCGAATCTAGTCACAAGTTACTTAATTACATCAATAAATGCTAAATGAATCAATTTGAATGCATAAAATGAATTTCCCAAAGTTTTACCGAAAAATTCCAAAATTGCCCCCGGGACCACGTGGTCGCATTTGCGACCCAATGCAGGATTCCCCCTTCTCGCATTTACGATCACTGGCTCGCATTTGCGAGACCTTCTTCGCAAATGCGAAGATTGCAGAACTGAAATGCCAGATTTTTCTCAAAGGTACAAAATGCACTCACGGCCTATCCAAAACTCACCCGAGCCTTCGGGGCCCCAACTAAACATGCACACAACCTCAAAAACATCCTACAGACTTATCCGTGCGATCGAATCTCCAAAACAACATCATAAACATCGAATTAAGCCTTAAAATCCATGATTTCTTCCAAATTTCATAAAACATGAAACTTTCCATTTTAAGTCCGAAACACGTCAAACGACGTCCGTTTTCAACCAAACTTTACAGAAAGTGCTTAAACCATATATAAGACCTGTACCGGGCGCCGGAACCAAAATACGGTCCCGATACCAACACGTTCTAATCAAATTTCCTTAATTATTTTTAGAAAATAATTTTACTCAAAAATTTATTTCTCGGGCTTGGGACCTCAGAATTCGATTTCGGGCATACGCCCAAATCCCATATTTTCCTACGGACCCTCCGGGACCGTCAAATCACGGGTCCGGGTCTGTTTACCCAAAATATTGACCGAAGTCAAATTTATTCATTTTAATATCAAAATTTAGCATTTTTTTCACAGAATCTCATATTTAAGCTTTCCGGCTACGCGCCCGGACTATGCACGCAAATTAAGGCAACTCTAATTGAGGTTTTCAAGGCCTGGGAAGTACAAAATGGGTAAGAAAACAGGTGATGACCCTTTGGGTCGTCACAAGATGCGGTGGATGTAGTTTTGGAGGAGGACGATGAAGCATTGAACATTAAAGACTCTCTAGCAGCATGTCTCA